TATTTATCTCTCGCATTTAACAAGAAAAACTTGTTTTATAGAAATGCAGAATACAATGATGGCAGACCTGCACAACATCAAACACTGTGGGAGAGCCTTTTGGATTTTTGTTCCAAGATTTTTAAAAAAATGTATATTAATAGAAAGTTTCTGAGGGATATTTTGTCCTGTTGTGTTTTTACCTGCAAACAAATATCAAACTAAGCCTAGTAAGTCTGTGGGGTTTTATTGGCAAAAGAGTATTTCAGTGGAAAACATTAAATAAAATATGATTTTTTTCATTTTGATTCATTTTATTCCTCAAAAACACGCTCAATAAATTGTGACTGCTAATACCTTTGTTGAAATGTAACATAAAAAAGAATGTAATAATTAAGTACAGAAGTGAATGCTGGTCTCTGGTATTTTATACTTAAGATTATTATTGCCTTGGAAGGTAATATATATTATGGTATCCTGATGAAACACTGCTGTCTTATAAAGAAAACCACAGTGCTAAGTTTTCCAAACTACCATAAATGTAATTACTTCCTGCTGAGAATCTAAGTGCTTATTCATAGCATCATTACTTTTAGTAATTAAGTCTGTAATTTCCTTCAGAATATGATTCATTCCTTCTTAAATCATAGAAGTCAGTTCAGAAAGTTATATTTGGTAGGTCAATGTATAGAAATTTCATTAAGTTTGCTCCACGCCAGAATGTATGTTAAATCTTCACCTTTTAAAGTGAATCAGAGAAACTTCTAAATTCTGCTTGAGCTAGTAGGGAGCAGAGAGGAAGGAGAGCGATCCAGTCAAGTGAGAAGTGGGGGATGTGTCCGTTTGTCCCTCCGAGCAGATTTTAACAGTGCGCATAAAACCCACTAGTCAACTAGGACAGGGACCACAGACATGTCTCTGTGCTTTTTTTCTGCAGCAGCCAAGTTTCCAATTCTGCAGAGGGCCCATGAACATTTGTGGTTACTCTTACTGAATACAGGGAGCAGAATTTTGCTCCCTGTAAATTCTTCCAGTTGAGGTTGCTTTCCCTTCTCAGTGCAAGGGATGGTACTCACCTACAGAAGCTCTAAGTCAACATAATATTTTTCCTTTTGTTACCTCCTTCTGCCTGTAATATGAAGCAAAGAAGAAAATATAGTCATAAGATGGTAGATAACACAGCTTAATGGTAGGAAAATTTAAGTTAGATTGGTTTTTGATTTAAATAGCAGAAGCTGACTTAATGCTGTGCAACAGTTGCTGGCGCATACAGCAAAGACATCCCCATGTTATTATGCATGTTGAATGTTAATGTGATATTTGCTTTTTTTATTCAACTCAATTTGCTTCCAATTTTCTCTTCCTTTACATGATTTTTTTTTAATTCTGTCAGGAAAGAAAAATCTTACTGGTTGCTAAGTAACTGTAGCAGTATTGCTGCAGATGTGCGATAGGCATATCTGATTACTATGGTGGTCTTTATTTTTTAAGTAAAAAAACATCTTTATGTAAAATAAACACAGTATTGAAAGTAATGATGGACTGATAAAAGATGGTTTTTATTATCCCAAATGTTCGCAGCCATATATATGTTACATCAGCTGATGGTAGAAACTTTTGGGGAGGAGTGGTTTGCTCTTGAATGAGTTATTTTAGTAGCATCAAACACTATAGGACCACCTCTCCCCATAGTTTTATACACAGATCAGATATGACATACAGGCAGTCTTCTCACACCTGCCTGCAGCTGAGGTGGGAGAGACTTTCTTCACAGCATACTCATGTTAAAACAGGGTAGGCCAGAAGTTGTGAGATCATGGACTCCGATTTTTATCAGTTTCTGTAAACATTTTTATGTAGATCATGGGTCTTATCACTGTCCAAGTTCTAAGATTTCTGCCCACGGAGGCTGGCAAGTCCCCCTTTGCTTTTGTCAGTACAGTACTCCAGAGCTTCAGCCAACATTTTATGGGAACGTAATACGTGTGGCTATCATGGCAAAATGAAAATCTCTCAGCTTATTTGCACAGCTCCTTGCAGGTAGCATGTATGTTATTCAAGTGCCAGAGTTGTCCTTTCTGAATCCATTTTTCTGAGCACTGCAGAACCCCTTGGACTCTTGTAAGTCAGGAATCCTCACTCCAAGCAAGACCTTGCCCATTTCACATCACCCCTTGTTAGACAGGGTGGCATGCAGTTGTTTGCTGGCTGGTCCATGTGAGGGCTAACAGCTATCTCTGTTATCAGTTGCTCCTCTGTGTAAGAGAACTGTGCTGATGGGCACAAAACATAAGAGTTAAAATCCTATCGATTGTTAATTTGGGAAGAAAATATCAGAATGCACACATGACAGTGAATGATTGTTCTACTGATAGATTTCATTTTAGCATTTACTAATTTGGGTGTGTTTGACTTTGTACCTGCAGCAGGATTTTAATGCAGATTTTTAGCAGTAATACATAGATAGACTCTCTTCTTACTGTGGGAAGGGCAGAAGAGTTGTAATTGTGGACATTATTCAAAGCAAATACATGTAATTTTAAATATGTGGATATTGTGTTAATACTTAATTTATTGTATCTAGGTTAGGAGGGTTCCATTTATTTTGGGTTTTTTTTGTATTCAGTTTAATCAAATGTGTCCATTAAGTGTAGGATGTGGCATTTGAATTCTTTTAGGGTATGCTTGCAGGAGATTGATTTTTGCCTGTGTTTGCAGAGAGTGAAGGAGTTTGCCCATGTAATCTCCAAAAAGGTCAAATCTTGACTTAATAAAAGTATGATTCAGGAACATAAAACTCATTCTTTAGGACATCGCATTAATATTTATTGGGGTCTGGATACTACAAAGACCTGCTAATTAGCTACAGAGTCTTTTGTGTATTGGTTAAACTGGCTTAAATCCAGTTTTGCTCAAGAGGGATTAAAATTGCTCCCATTATGATAAATCTGCTAAGCAGGGGACTCATATTCCCATTAATACCTATGGCTCAGATTACTGTGCAGGTACATCTTTCTGCCATGACTAATAGCTAGTGGTAGTCGACGTTTTTAATAAGTCCAGCAAAGAATATTTCTAATAAAAATCATCCCCTATTGCTGACAGTAGAGTAAGAACCAGGCGGCAGCCAGGGAGCCCAGCAGGCTCTACCCAGATGCATTTGGAAGAGGCACCGACTGTCCCACCCTGTGCAGCACTTGGCCTGTGCAGGAAGGGAGCAAAGACCAGAAACCTGGGCTAGTTGTTGCCTGAAGAAAATGCTCCCAGATATAGACCTCACAGCCAGGACAAATTTTAAAAGTACAGAAAAATGAAGATGGCTACTGCATTGAGACAGCAACAGAAAAGTGACTCTGAAAGTGAAGCAGGGAGCAGATGCTACTGTCCAAGTCAGGGGCTACTGTGCACAGCTACAGTTGCAATACTGCCTAGGTGCGGGAGGATATGTCTATATATTGTGCGAGGCAATATGGTACAAACATCACCAGGCTGAACCGAGCCTGTAAATCCACAAGACTCAGTCTGGATCTGGTCCAGAATAAGTGCAGCTATATTTGCATAGTCCCAGCCCTAATCAAATATACCATGCTTCTGGACTCCATTCAGTTGTTTCTCAAATACCTTTGATTACAGTGTTAGTAGGTTGAAAACTATAAGATTAGACAAAGCAACTAATAATCAGTGTTTTTGTAAAGTGGGAGAGAAAACGTATGCAGTGTAACTGCACTTGTAAAAGACTTGGTGCCCTGGTAGAAAATTCCTAGAATGAGTGGGCTTAAGAAACACTTGCAACTAAAGGCTCATGCCTTATGTTGACAGAAGAAGCTACAGGCTCAAAGCTGGCTTGAAAAAATAAGGGTGGAAAGGACCTAAAAAGAACCATATGGTGCAGAAGGACACTAAGCAGAATCTCCTTTTTTTTCCTTCCCCTTTCCCCCACCACCAAAGAAATGGGAAGACTACTGTTCACAGGCATGCCACTAAAAGGTGCAAAGCAACGTGGGGATGAGAGTATGTTTTCCCCACCCAGGATGCCCCAGCTGACTGTGCTTCTTGACATTGTAGGTGGTGATATGGACCAATGTGGGGAGGCTGCTAAGGAGGAAGACTCACGTCTTGCAGGGATGCTGAATCAAAGGAAGGAAAGTAAGCATGTATATATGTTTGAGGGAATTTAAGAGAATGAACTCAAATGTAACTGTAGTAGACCAGCTTAAATCTTGGAGGCACTTTCTGGACTAGTCAGTAAGAGATAAGTATTGATGGAACTTGCCTGACCTTTAATCAACAGAAACTGCTTTGTTTTCATAGAACACATAGCATCTGATAACAGAGTGATTCAGCTGAAGAACTTTGCCCCTCTGCACAGTATCGTCAACATCGTGGTAAGTCTTGAGGGATAATGAGATTTTAAAAAGTACTTGGATGCAGCTGTGGGAATCTTAACTCCTGTAATTATTTTTTTTGGTTTGTTTTTCCTTCTGATAGGTATTATTCTAAAATAGAAAAATATTCTTTCATAAAATATCATTTAAGCCCCATGCCCTGAATCTTCAGGACTCTCATCTCTTGGTGAAAGGGAGAATAATGGGCAGAGAGCTAACCCATCTGCATAAACTATTTACCCAGAACTCCTGATGGGGTAAAACCACAGAGAATAAAGTGCTCTCTGTGTGCCAGTTATTGGCACACAGGGAAAAGTCAGCCCTCAGAAAGCTTCGTTTGCATCAACTTTCAACTCAGCACTTCCCCACTGATGTTTTTGAACCATCATAACAGGAAGCAAACTGAAAACTGGTTTGGATAGTGAAGCTGAACTTAATGTAGAATTCTTCAGAAGGACCCTCCAAACAAACTAAAGGTTCTTCCAGATGCTGAAGAGAGTGATAGAAATTTTGGATTAGCTCCATGAGGGCCTCCTTTTTTGTAGAGATAAACAGAGCTGAAACAGTCACTGTTGGCTGAACTGAAGGGCAGGGTCAGGCAGTGCTCCCAAGGGGCTGAAGCCTCTCTGCGAGCCCTCTTGGACGGTACCACACAATGAAAACCATGCACCACCCAGAGAAGTGGCGGCTAGAAGCATACATGCCTGGTGCATGGTCTTTCCGGTGAGTAAGGTATCAAAATAATGAACTATTTCTAACACTAGTTTAAGGGAATGTATTATGTATCATCATAAACACAACGCTGGGGATAGTGTTCTGGTTGAAGCTGTGGTTCGCTAATAATGTTAAATTCTCCCAACCCCAAGAATCCAGTGTTTGGAAATGGGGAACAATTTTTAAGGGCTGTTAGGGAATATATTTAGTAGTTCCAGAAATTCTGGGTGCAGGCTTGAGCTAAAGGTATACGAGAACCCCAAAATACATTGAACTTTTTTTTTTTTTTCTGGTTATTCCAGTCAGCTAGGAGAGAGTTTATGCAATCTGAAGCTTTTATTTCTTGCTAACACATGTTCACAAACACAATGGCATTCTGTTGAATTGTATCCAGAAAATTAATTATTCTTCAGAAGGATTTTGGCTTTCTCTGAGGACAGTCTCTACTTTTTTGCACTAGACAAATCTTTTATCTTTGTTTAACAAATAGGTGCAGCGGGGAAATACTTGCCTGGGAAATTCCTGGAGGGAATAAGATGCACAAAGATCTTGATGCTGCAGTCCAAGATAAATAGGAAATTGTAATACACTTAGCAAATGAAAATGCAAATCACAGAAAAGTAGGGAAGGAAAAAATTTATTCCCTGGCCTGAACATTCAGAGAAAGGGAGTGGGACTGGGAGGTGTCTGACAAGCAGTTTATTTGCAGTCTCCTGCTAATTGAACGTTATCTGAATTGCTTGCGGCTGTCATTCCATGAGCAAATGTATTTGTAGAAATGCCAGTAGTTTCAGAGAAATGATGCACTTACCAGAAAAAAATGTGAGCACTGTAGGGAGACTAGAAGCAAATAGTAACTGGTAGAAGAGATGTTCAGGAGGACTCTTTGTGCTTATTGGGAGTACGTCCTTAAAATCCAATCAGCGTGGTGTTAATTTATCAGTTACAGCTAAAGAAACTAATTGGAGTTTTCTTTGTACATGTGAGTTCAACTCATCAGTGTGCTTGGCCTCTCTACAACCTAATAATGAATTACCATGTAAGTGATGAGATGTAGGTGAGGCCAGTACAGAAAGTTAGCTAGCAAGTGAAATATTTTTAAAAGGACACAAGAAGTAGGCATACAGATGTATGAGGCTTAGGAAGCATAAAAAAAACCAACCAAACAAACAAAAAACTAACAAACAAACAAACAAACAAACAAACCACAAAGGATAAAAAACATAGGGTGAGGGAAGAAGAGATATGGAAACAATAAAAGAAGAAATTTGATAAAAGATGTCAAAAGAAAGATGAATAGGAGAGAAGGATTGCAAAACAGAGGATGAATTTGGATCACTGAGGAACAGAAATAGTTATGCAGAGGGCAGAGAGAGAATGGTATGAGGAAAGAGACTAAGAGAAAAATGTGAAAATGAGAAATGAAAAACAAACTAGCAACTGGAATTATGGAATGAATAAAAGCTCTACCTAACACTGTTCTCAGTGAATTTTTCATACTATTTGTCTTAGGCTTTCTGATGAAACTATATTATTATCACAAACCATGAAGCCTTGATGCGCCATTGATATACACCAATGTGGATCTTTGCAAGAGGAGGCTGCATGTAACCAAACTGAAAAATGCTTTCCCTACAACCAGGTGTGTTGCCGTGTTGTGATCCCCAAATGCAGCTTGAGGGTGCAAAGCTACCTTTTAGATGTCCCCCAAAGCATTTTTCTCTCTGTTTTATCCATTTTTGTCTGCTACTAAATTACAGATTTGTGACAAAAGTATGAGTCTGAAGGACCCTCACAAAATAACATCTCTGTAATTCCTCCTTTTATTTAGCAGATACAGTTTAACAAGTCTTCTGGCGAGTATGATTTTACTTCTTGTAGGATGAAGGAAAATCTTATGTATATTTTTAATCCTTTTAATGAAATTGAAATATGTGTTCATGTTTATTTTCAACTAGAGATCATTTCATTTCCACAGTTTCTCCTTTTGGGAAAAACACAGTTTTATGGAGATGGAACAATACAAATGACTGCATCCAACAAATTCTCTTTCAAATTTCTATTGTGTGGATACCGAATAGGTTCTTTGAAAAACAGAACTCCAAACATTCCGAATTCTCCAAAATTGGATTTGTGTAGAGGCATCCTGCTGCTAGGAATACCACTTGCCAGCTGTCAGACCCCATGATATATTGTATAGCTTGTGATGCCTTTGCCATGGATTATTGATTGGGCACTGCAGTCAGCAGAGCATTGGTGATTCTGCTCCTGCCTTCGGTCAGAGCTGTCTGCAGACATGCAGGCACGCACACGCCTGCTCCAGCCATACTAGTGCGAGTCTGTTTTCAAAAGTATTAATCACTGCAGATGAGCAAGGAGGATAATTGAAGTCCTGTGGGCATTTGAAGTAGTTCAGCCCCACTCTATACTGTGAAGACTGCCAAGCTTTATGTGTTATGAGACAAGTAGAAAATGTTGTTTGAATAGAGTGTGAAAGGAGAGAGAAATAGATTAAAAGCCTGTCTAAGCACATAGCACATTTTCCAGAGTGCTGGCTAGCAGTTTGTGTTTAGACAGTGATTTGGGGCTGAGAGGGTACTTTCAGTTCTGCTCCAACCTAGCTGTGAGGAGTGTGAGGGTGTGGGAAGAGGTCTTTGTTACTGACTGTCTTGATATCTCTCCTGCTTTCCAGCAGTGCTATTCTGAGAGGCTTGGGGACCTTCAGAGACACATGGATACCAAGTTCAAGATAACAGAGCTCCCAAAAGCAAGCGACTTGACTCAACATGGATATTTTTCCCTGAATTATGGGCTCATTCATTTCTATGCTCTTATAAATGGGGTTAATTTTAGGTATGTTACCTCACCCTCAAAGCCTGTCATTAGGTACTGCTGGTTTGTTGTTTGGAAGATGACTTCTACCATGAGTTTACACAGATAAATTCAACAATGTAAAAACCTCACTAGAAACTGCTGTGTACACCTGTATGTGCTTTAGATGATCCCAGAACAGTGCCATTATGAATGTATAATGTCTCTCAAGCAATGGGTAATTGCCTCCATTCTAAATACGCCATTTCTCAGAAAAGCCCATGCCACAAAAAAATAATTAAAAAAAAAAATACAAAACAAACCAACAAGTAGGAATGGTTTCTAAAGTGAAAATGGGTGACGGTTTTTTGAGTGTCAGTAAGAATGAAGGATGTGTTCACAGTTCTGTGTAAGAAGCAGAGAAAAACTTGAAAAAATATTTAGCTTTGAGGAACTTTGGGATGTCTAACATACTTCTCCTCTTGAAATGAAAAGACAGTATAATTGACTTGGAACCAGTGACAGATCACAGTTTGGTTAGTGCAGCAATACAAAAAAAAAAAAAAAAAAAAAAAAAAAAAAAAAAAAAAAAGAAAAGGAAAGGAAAGGAAAGGTATGTATGGCGCAGTTCAGATATATATGCCCTGAAGCTCTGGATGTTCTAAATCACAGAGGAATACACACACACAGTTCAGCTTAAAAGGAATGGATTTGTTCATATAAATGCAGCAGAAAGCCTCCATTAAAGGAAATGAAATGTAACGATAAACTCTGCCTACTCTTATGACCAAACTGACTTCTTAATCTACACCACAATTTATGTTCACTTAAGGTTTCAGTCAAACCATTTATTTTATCTCCTCTTCCGCTGTTTCAAGAAAGAGCCAGGAAGAACAGCTACAATTTTCTCTCATTTTAGACAAATGCAGTGCTGATGGCTGTGGCCTGAAGGGAAGAGCTGCCCTCTTGCCAGAAGACAAGGAGGACTGTTGACATCTGGTGGCAGGAGGGCAACAAAGGGTTGGCTCTGAGACACAGTTTGCTGCCGGTGTTATAGGTGAGATATTTCTCTTTGTAACAAGCAGACTTATCATAATGTGAGTGAAATTGTGTAGTTTCAATACTGAGCTTACATCGGGGCAAATCAGCTCATGTAAATGTGATTTGGGGTGTAAAAGTTGTAGACTGACAAGGCAGGATAGGAAGTCTATTTAATAAGTCTCCTTCGAGTAGCAAGGACTGCTGTGCAGCCCTGCGTGTTACAAGCCTTCTTGCTGGAGAGCAGAGGGAACTGCGGAGCAGGCACGGTTAGCAGAGCTGTAGTCGTTATGCATGTGAGCCTGGAGCTGCAGAGACCCTTTGGAGCAAAGGGGCAGCTGGGGCAAGTGGCTAGAGGCACCAGCAGAGACAGCAAATGGTCATCAGCTTTGGATCCGTGGAACTTCGGAATCTGGAGGCCTTGCTCCCCAGCAGCGTAGGCAACTCATCGCATCCCCCCAACCTGACAGCTGTAACCTGCAAGACTGTGGTGTTACCATAGGATGAGAAAAACAGCCACAGGACCCAGCACAAGAGATGAAAGAGAGGGACTATATATTACATACTTGCACTTCTGGAAAAGAGTGGCTATGTATGATAAACTACTCTATCTCCCTGTTACAGCTTCCTCCTCCCCCTTTCAGTGAAACAGTGTTCTAATACTTGAGTTCATCTGTCATTTACAAGTGGGAATAATTAGCTCATTTAGTTTTATATTTTCAAGTTTCCAGGTATATACTTAAGCTGGTGTTTATCAGAAGCTCCTGAAGTTTGAACTCAGCCCCTTTTGCTGTCAGTAAAAGCCTGACAGAAGGGTTGTATTCCCCCATCTTTATAAACATGGAATTTCCTGAAATATTTTGCAGTTAACATTTGGATATTAAGCCCTAAGAAATACTCAGAAAAGTGTGAGAAGTTCCATATGCTGCCATGTACTTCCATATACTGCAGGGCATCACTGAATCTTCAAATTTGTTCTTATTTAAACTATATGTGCCAATACCTCTCTTCTTATTACAGCTTGAACACGTGCTGTAGCTATTTCTAACAAATATAAGGTCATCAATTGCTTTGCAGTTGTTTACAGTACCCAGCATTATGTTAAACGCCATACCCAAAAGCCTGGCTCGTCTTTCAGTGAAGACTTTGTAACATCTAGAATGAGGCACCAGAAAGACACCAAGTGATTGGCAACCTGAAATCAATTTGTGTGAGCAGGCTGCATTCCTCCCACCTTCCTCCCTGTGGGGTCAGGGATGTGACTGGTAAAGGTGCTCATAATACACCTTCCTTGACCTAAGTGTGGGTGCTTGGCAGGATACGTTTCACAGGGACCCCTGACAGCTATGAGACACTTTCTTGCTCTTGCTCTGAAATGCTCTGGAGTCTGCATTTTGACGCATAAGGCTCAGCAAATTTGTTCCAACTTTCCTTTAAAGAGAGGAAGAAAGCATGAAATACAGGCTCATATGTCTACCCTGGATACCAGCTATTGCTTGTGAGAGAAATTAAATAGATTGCAATTTCATTTTTGCAGTCTGAAATGGCTGATGGGACATTCAGATGTGGTAGTTACATATTTTGAACTATGCTAAATTTCAAAAAATATGAGAAAAATATTTGCAACTTAACAGAAGTTACTGGTAGATCAGGAATAAACTTAAAAAGATACTGCACCCACTATCGGCTTAATTTACTTTCATATTTTGTTTAAAAATGCTTGACTTAATGTATTAGTGATATGAGAAAATATACTTTGTTCTTTCTTAGAAAGGCAATGTTTCTCTTAACACTCCTACCTGTAGTCTCTGCCTACTTTACATTTGGACCCTGACATATAAACCTCATGTTGCATTTTTCAGTGGTCATCAAGATATTAATTGTAAAGCTGTATGTCTGTAAAGGCCTCTACCATGTAGTAGAGGCATCTCACAGCAGAGAAGGCTTGTCTGTTATTTAGAACACCGTACTTTTCTAGCCCATTTCCCAATGTCAAAGTTTCTAAGTAATCATCTGTTACTTCAAATAATATAAAAATAGCATGTCATTACCATTAAGCACCAACTGCAAGGATTTAATTTTAAACCATTTCTCCTTCCCCTGACTGAAGGAATGCCTCTGCAATAATTGTTAACCTTTCATCAGGATAATTGCTAAATAACTAACAATGGTTAAATGATAAGAACCTGAGAGATTTGAAAGTTTTTACTGAAGTATTTATTTCACCAATGACCTATATGAATCTGTTCCAAAATAAAAGCAATGCATATTCACCAGCAGTAGCAGCACAAATTCTTTATATGCACTAGATCTTCTGATGTATGTGCTTATGCCTTAGTCACTTACAGTTGTCCCTGATCCTACGTCAAGGTGTAAAGACCCATCTCACTGCAAAGAACTATTTGTGTGCTGAAGCTGAGCTCTATTTCTCCAAGGTCACTTCATAATGCTTTGCAATGTCTTCATTTCCACTAATACAAATTACTTATTCCACAGAATAAACTGTGGAAAACAATGTAAAGGCTTTATAATCCCTTTCTATTTTTGTAGCAGATTTAAGTATTTCCTGGCTTCTGTTAGCTGAGCTGATTAGCATGCTGAGATTTTCTGTAGTTTCTCAATGAGCCCCATGTGCTGATTTTGGATATGCCTTTTATACATCCCTTAGGAGCTGACAGTCAGCCTCCTTGTCCTGTCCCATCTCTACATGCCATCAGGATTTACTCACTCTCCTTTGTCTCCTAACTTGGGCATGCTTAAGAACTGCACACAGACCTGCTGGGATCCTGATGACCTGCTAATTTAAGTGCCATCAACACGTGGGCCCTTATGTCCTCTCCTGCCCTTTGTTCCAGGCACTCCCATTCATTCTCCACTCACCCCAGTCTTAACATCTCTACAACTCTCTCCATAACAAGGGGAGGAACTTGGGGAGGAACTGGAGGTATTTATTGGAGAAAGAGGAGGAGAGCAAGGGTAGGAAAAAACGCTGGAGCGTGACATGTACAGCATAAATCTGTCAGAAGCCTGTCTGCTCCCTAAACGAATTATCTTACCTTTTTTTTTATTATTATTATTTTTAAAGTTCCGGTGGTTAGTGTACACAGTGTTACAGTGACACTGTTAGGACTTGCAAATCACATATCTGTCTACATATCTTCTTCAGGTCCTGCTCTAGTTCCTAATTTTTGTAGGTAAGTTTGCCTTCCCAATAGTTTTTGGTAAAATCACAGAAAGTTCTCTGTGGCTTTCACTCCCCGTTTTGATGGCGTGGATATATTTTATCTCTAATCACATACCCGCATCTCTCCTTTCTGCAATATTCTTCTTTTTGGTTGCATCATGTACCTTTAGTGGCAGATGCGATTCTGCAGACAGTGGCTGATGCAACTACTCTCTAATTTGCAATTCCCTCCTGTTTCACCCAAACACCTCAATAGCCACTTCTTTCTTTCTACATGCTTTTATCTATGCTGTGCCATTCATATTCTGTCAAAGTTTATTTACCTTTTTTGGCTGAGGTTTAGGGGGAAGTAGTGGCAGAGAGCTTGTTTTGTTTTGTTTTTCTGTTAGAGGTTCCAAGGTACGTAGTTTGATGAATTACCAGTAGCGTCTATACAATCCTAATGACCCTTCAGTCCTCACTTTATTTATGCCTTTGAGATGTTTAAATTAGGGGCACCTGGCTGGAAACAAAGGGAAGTGGCTGTCTGAGTGTTTTCACAAATAAAAGTAATGTGTCTATTGCTTCAGCGATATCCCCACCACTTCCTCATGGAGTATTTAGCACAAGGGTGTTCAGCAGGCTTTGGCTTTGTTAAACACCTGCTCAGAAAATCTGCTGACTACCAGAGGCCACGGGAGTACAGCAGCCCATTTATGCTTGCTTTTGAAAATGCTGGTCTAACACTAATACAGCAGTTGTGATCCTCTGTGAGAAAGTGCTCTAAATGCAAATTTTAATCAATGTCATTTCCTCATAAATCAGTCCCTCTAGCTTCCTAATTATCAGCGTCAGGCTCTGAATTGTCATTATGCTTCTCATATTGAGGTCCAGATTGAAAGTGATATCTTCCTGTGCTGCCCAGGAAAGGATTATCACTTTGCTGCTCTATCAGGGATCTGAGCGTACAACATGAAGCTGATTAGCATGTCTTCCTCTCTCCTGTGCACGAGGTTCCACCACTGCAGCTTTCCTACTGTAAAGCTACTTATTTTTTCTTCTTCTTAAAAAAAAAGACCAAACAACAAAACAACACAAAACCTACATGATGCTTCTGTAGTACTGTCATTTATAGCTATTTTTAAGAAATGCCAAAATGAAAGTTGAGCCAACATCAGACTTATTTTATTATGCAGTTCATAAATAATGTGACCATAACTGCCATTTCCCTTTCCTCCTTTGCTAACATTTTTTCAGCCTCCCACTTTTCCTGAGCAACTGAAAACCTCTAGGTCAATAAAAAGAAAGTGAATTTTCACT